CCACACCTTTACCCAGCAATTTGCATCCATAGTGCAGCCGAAATCATCCTTTAGGGAATCAGGTTCCTCCGTATGACTACTGGACAGCCCACAACGCTATCAAGTTGTATCATATTTATGCACATGCACATAGATGCGTACCACCCCATTTGACCAATGGCGAATAAACCAATGGCATTCGGACAAGTATACGTTGCGGTGTCAGCTCTGCGGTTGAACTCTGGCAGGCGCAGGGTGAACGTGCACTGGGAGGAATTTAGCAACCACTGGTTACTACGAAGTTAGGCACATGCAAAGACGTCCGTGCGGTCAAACTCGAACTGGTTGTAGTAAAGGCTAGTCGGAGAAGTTGGTGAAGCATGGCAGTTTCCTTTGAACAAATCCAGGAGCTTCTCCAGCGGCAGCAGATGTACCTCGAAAAGTCTCAAAACTCACAAAGGCTACACATATAGGCAGAATCTCCAGGGCCGACAACACGACCTTCCGTGGACTCTATGCGGCATCGATTTTGGAGTGCATTTTCGACGCATCGACAAGTGTCACATTCGTATCGTGGTTCCAAATGTATGAATATTTTTCGTCTGGAGTAAGCAGAGCGGGATGATGCCTGGAAAGTCCGTTTGCTGTTGAAGAAACTGGGAACAGTTGAGCATAAACGGTATGGAAATGTTATGTGACTCGAAAATCTAAGAGACTTCAGTTTCGCGGAGACAGTGAAAACATTGACACAAATATTTGGTGGGCAAGCATTCTTATTGAGTATTCGGTATAACTGCATAAAATTGGTCAAACGAGATGCACCTGATTTCGTCACACATGTTGGCAGACGGTCTAGGTGCGCAATGAGTCCGCACGCGCTAGTATTGGGCAGTGGGAGGTGTGTCAGCAGGTGCTGTCAGCACGATACCAGAATCAAGACGAACGCAGAAGCAGCAGTGTACATGTCTGGAAGTCCAGCCTGTTGTGAATGGACTCAGCGGCATCACAAAGAGAGGTTGAACGAACAAACGAGCCGTCAGTTTGAGGCCAGAAAACGGGCAAACTGTGAAGGACCAGAGGACTAATGTTGGTCATTTACTTACCACATTTTGATGCTGCCTCAGGCTACTTCGAAGTTATTCTCTCCTACTTAGGTGCGCGATGGTTGCTACGGAGTAATCTCAGAATCCAGTCGTCAATAAGCAACGTAAGGTAAGGAACAAGACCCAGTGCAGCGGAATGTCCGCACTATGTTCAACCTAAAGTTTTACTTTATTCGATTGAATACCGCATTGGCGACGATTCCTCATGTACATTTGCAAGCGATCAGCATATGAATCACGCTGGGCAAACCTAATCGAGGTAGACAGAACAGCTTTGGAGCGGAATGACATGTTCACCAACTTGGTGTTGAGTAAGGCATCTGACAAGTATCTGATTGCAGCCTTACAAATTTCTTAGAAATGAGATGTTAGACCGTCAGCTATTTCACTTACGTTCTCACTCGGCAATCACGCACACACCAAAACAGCTAGCGCACCTGTACAATTGTGTTGAAAAAGGAGTAGATTACACCCGGCTGGTGGTGGCCGCCGAGGGACCACCGTTCGTTAGAACAGAGTAGGCCAGATAGATGGTCGATGACTGGATGCGTCTGTTAGCAGACAAAAGTGGACAACATACCGGATCCATAGTGAGACATTGAGGCTACTTTTGGATAAACGGCTTGCTGTTATATCGAGTGACGAGGAGCTCCTGATATTGGGTCATGTGCCACATAGGTTTCTACTGTTGGTTAGGTGATCCTTCGTCCCTGAGATGACATCAACAGCTGAATTACGCGTGGGTAGTTGGGTGATCAAGGTGGAGAAGTTCGGGTATCTGAGATCAGTAAATTGTAGAGAGTACAGTGCGATTCAATGTATCCAGGGATTCTATCTCAAAAATTCCGTCGGGAATCTAGAGGACAACTACTGGTCCGGAAGTAGCTGATCGTTCTAAACTCTTTTACGTGGCTCGGATTTACCCTGGAATCATTATAACTCAGTCCGCATTGGGGTTGTTCGAGGTATGTTTCGCGCTCCGATTTGGATGTTTTCCAATTCTTAATGAAGAGGATGATGCTATGACAGTAGTGAGTGGTGTGGAAGTGCTAGTTTGTAGGATGATACGAGCTACAGCTGTGCGATTAACTTCTGCTTAGCTGGCAGCTTACGACAATCGCAGTCATCGATGTCTCACTGGTTTTGTGTCTATTCTGTGCAGACGTCCTCCATAATCAACATGTCGTTTAACAGCAGGCGTGCAAACCGCCTGGTTACGGTAGAATTCAATGAAGCTGAAAGCTAGGAAAGTGATTCGCTGAAATTGAGCTTCAGTGCCGTTCGTGTGAACCTAAGAAGTAGCTTTAAAGACAATTGGTTTAAATGACGCATTGTGCACTGACACACCATTCAATGATGTACATTCAACAAAGTGTTTTCCATCAGCAATAGCATGCGCACTGAGGTCAACCTTGTGATGCTTCGAGTAAATACAGAGTTAAACCAATCTCTGGATATGCTCAGAGCGCACTAACTGCTAACAAGCTAGTTGTCAATTCGCACTGAAGATGCCATCCCGATTGGTAGTGAAACATCTGCAATCGAATTGGTCAGCTCGGAGAACCAAACAAAACTTCAATCGCCAAGCCGAGCTAGCGGTAGGTAAACTCGTTGCGATATACGTTGAAGCAGGTGACCGGTCTGTCGCTTTGATGTTAGCTGGATCTATACCATTTCCCGGCCAAGTTGTCCTCTTGGGCAACAGAAATAATCTGAGGGGGCATTCAACATGAGTCTACTCAATTAACTTGTTCCGTGCGTACGCCAGTCACTTGTGCAAATTTGTAGGTGTGCGTGTATAGCCCATCGCCCCCAGCCAATTGGACCTCAGATGCACTAAGTCATAGGGGTGCAGGTGGGACGCTTCAGCTCCTACGCACGGATCACATTAATTGAGCAGACTCATGTTGAATGCCCCCTCAGATTATTTCTGTTGCCCAAGAGGACAACTTGACCGAAAAATGGTATAGTCATCGGCCATGTTAGTAAGTCACAAATTGTAAGAACTTGATGGACTTCATCAGAAATTTGCATTTATACGCGTAAATGGAAACTGTAATCTTTTATTCGCAGTCCTATCACATTCACTGGCTGAAATTCATCTTGCGTTCGGCCCATTATGATAAGATCATCTAGATAGGCTGCAGTTCCAGGCCGGCCAGTCAGTATGGTGTCCATAACTTGCTAAAAAAATTGCACATGCTGTTTTGACTCCAAATGACAGTCGGTCGTATTGATAGAGCCCGCGATGTGTCTATCGTAAGAAACTTTCAGCTTTCCGGTTCTACTCCCAGTTGCAAATAAGCATCTGCGAAATCAAGAGTAGCAGAGTATTTTCCTCTATTCAGTTTCACATACACTTCCTCGGAGAGTGGAAGTGGGTACTGATGAGGCAACAATGCGGCATTTAGGTTACTCGAGAAGTCGGCACACAAGCGAATAGTACCGTTGGGTTTCTTGTTCCCAACAACGAGAGCAGTCCACGGTGAGAAACAGATTTGTCCGATCACGCCAGCCCGAAGTACCAGTTCAAGTTCCTGTTCCACGAGTATTTGTGAAGCGTAGGGGACTGTACATCTGGGTCTAAATATTGCTTTCCGTCGAGAAAGTGTTTTGCCTATATTTTTGCGCAGTGACCAAGCTCAGGTCGGAAGCCGTGAGTGTAGCTGGTGGAAAACTCTTCGGAGAAGCTTCCACTGGAATGAGCCGGTATGGCAGTATGGCGGATCATGACGTTTGTTTCGGAACACACACAATTCAGTGGCTCGTCGAGTAGATTTAGCCACACAATCCAACCCATTCCGAGTAAATGACTATCGGTACAAGAAGTTAAATAGATGGCGCCATGGGTTGCAAATTGTTGAATTCGAGTTCGCAGTCAACTTCTCCGTCTAGCGACAAGGGTTCGCCAGATGCTCTTTGAGTCGTAAGACTTGTAGGCTTGACTGGAGGTTCGTTCAGCTTAGCCAATCTCGAGTGGGAAATGATGGTGATTTCAGACGCTGCATAGTTGCAACGACACCGGAACATCCTTGAGTTGCAGTCAGATATTTTCTGGTGCTTGCGAATTCTGAGCGAAATGCGGCAAGAATCGCTTTCGTCTTTGCATCCTGGAATCGGGTGTTCCTGAACTTGGAGTTTGCTCGAACCCGTGGAGTAAACACGTCGAAAGTTGTTCGGTCCTCGACAGCGGGTTTCTTTATAACCAATGCGTCTATATTTTTGACATTGATGATTCTTGTATTCACAATCTTTCGCAAAGTGCCACTCGCTACCGTGCCAATACACAGCGGGGGGGGGGGGGGTCCGATTTGGCACATTTCCATGCAGTCCAATTTGTTGTAACGAGACAATCTGATCGTTAGACACCTAATCGCTGCAGGTGCTGAACGTCTGAGGTCCTCGAATCGAGGAAGCGAAATTCTTCCACGATAGAATGGAATGGCTCGGTAGTAGTCTTCTATACCGACCATGAGTATCTTCTCTTCGGGTTAATCTGGTTAAGACAGCGGATCTGTCACACAGGGATTACAGCCAACATCGCTACCTAGCTAAGTGGAATGAGCAACCGCCGCTTTATGATGTGTGGTAGATGAGGGAACACTTAGAAATGCATGGCAAAAAGCAACAACCAGATAGAGAAGCGTGTTGCTCGATTGTTGTCACACACACACACACACACAATGCTACCAACTGAGGGACCAATAGATTGATATTGTTAGAATGGGAAATGAGAGTAACAAATTCAAGGCAGTGGAGCTAAACGAGATTGATCAGTTTAACACAGATGCCATGACCAGCCAAATGGGACAACAGTTTTCCAACCCACATGGAGCCGATCGCATGCCATTTCACATGAATGCAAATTATGCCTCAAATGAGATATCAGAAAGCAGATGCTCTTCTTAAGCGTGGCGCTTAACGTTTCTCTTGGTGAGCGTTAGCGAGCACCGTAGGTGAGTTGGAGAGCAGTAATTTTCGGACATAGCTCAAACCGATCGAGTCAGTGATGGTGAAGGCACCAGCGCTTGTATACTGGGGTCGACCGAAGGAAAAGTAAAATCTAGGATGAAATTAGAAAAGCCAGACAGCAATGAGTGAAATATGTGTCCGGGGAAACAATCAAACAGCTAACCGATAATCCGTAAGAGCCAGGATAGGAAGAATGACCACAGGTCGGAATCATCAGTAGTTAGTGGGGACATAAAGCGACAGAATAAGTGAATATTTTTGTCAAAGAAACCCGAGGTTGGTGTTTCAGAAGCTTCAACATAATGATTCGGAGCACGTAAACGTGGAGACAACAGGAGTTCAATAAAACATCGTAAACTGAGCTCGAATGGGCGAACCAGCAGTTCCGTGTGAAAGGCACAGAGCTATGGACACACCGAGTCTATTACGATGTATGCATGCTTTGCATTGAATGGAAATGGATAAGCAGGCATGCGGAATTGATGAATAATTGACATCATGAAGAGTGAGAAGACTGTGTAACCCACAGTTGCCATCCTCATAATCTATATGCACACAACACATCAGCATCACTATACATTAGCTGAAAGTGAGAAACAGACATCATCTATTGTGCCGCAACACGCAACGATAAGATGTATGAAAAACAAGATACCGGAAAGTACACGGAAATGTACACGACTACTATACCCACGCCTTCATCAGCTGCTCCAATCATGAGCAAATCGCATGCCGACAGCGCATATGCGAATGATCACAAAATATAACACAATGTGGGAGAGATAATGGATAGAGGTCCGTACATGATAACTTACCAGGTCAACACAGAATGTGGAGGCTGTGTTTTCAAAACGTCGGAATACTCGGCGGCGGAGAGTATCGAACAAAACGATGGATCCATCAGTAAGTGGCACAGCCAACGTGTCACTGTAGGAAAACAGAGTGGACGACAATAAACAGGAAACCCACTGCCCCGATGGGAAGATTTCGTGAGAAGATAGACATGTCATTGATTGATGAGGAAAACGCTTGGTAGAAATACTCACTTGTCACCATTAAATCGAGAAAAAAGAGCATCAGACGGAAGTGTAGCTGTATCCAATAGGTCACCGTTAAGGAAAGACCAAAATCGAACCTCGGTACCTGCGACAGTCACAGTTTGGCGATTGACGTGATTCGCAGCTATCCCGACTACTGCGCTGACATGCGCTAAAACAATAACAAACAGATGAGAGATAAGTACCACGTTGTGTTTGAAATTACAGTTGGCTCAGCTACACATAGTAAGGAGAAAAACTGGTCAAAATATTCACTCATACTAACTGACTATTAAGTAGAGGCAAAATTGCAAGGAAACTGTTAGGAGATGCGTACCCCGATTAAAAGTACGCTCTGGTTACTACCGTTGCGAAACGGAGGGATAAAGTGCTATAGAACGCTTGACAACGCCGTAGAACATGTATTCTGCGAACAACGCGATACTCCAGACAAGCGTTTCAGCACGGCGACAAACCGGGTAGCGGATACGTCAATGGCTTTTGGCACAACCATATATATATATATATATATATATATATATATATATATATATATATATATATTACAATGAGTGCCTTATGATGAGGTTGATGTAACATTGAGGATACTTCTTCACCGCAGTTGGGCCAAACCGACTTACACTTAAACTATATCCTTTTAATCTGAACACAAGTGTTTCTACTTTATTTGATTTATTCAGTTCTGTTATTCTACTGAATACGTCGTGCCAGTTTCGCGCGTTTGCTTTCCGTCAAATTATATGTTGGTTGTTTGATATACCCGGTGTGGCTGCGAATGATGTGAACGTTGACAAGGTGCCTATCTGTCTAACAACCTCCACCTCGATGACTAGCTCCAGGAGATTGTGAATCGTCAGTGAGAAGGTACGGGGTGCACGGTCCCCGTAGTCGTGCTAGGCTCAAAGAGCGGCCTCATTCGGTATGAAGCGGATTACCGCCCATGCACCGCCTTGTGTATGTTTGGTAGGCGTGATTGCCTGCAGATAGACAGGAATGCTGCCGCTGTGCGTGTTAAAGGAGTTTGGGCCGGCTCCCTTGATGAACTATGCTCCCATACACATGCCTCCCGGTCTTATTCCTTCGGGTTTACACTGGATATGAGGTGTGTGGTTGGAGCTGTGGGTGGTGCAGCGCAAGCCGCCCATGATTTCTCTGTAGGCGCAGGCCTCCTGTGGCTGTCCCCGGGGAGTCCGCGGTGACCAGCAAATCACGAAACGGATGCTGACAACCACATTGCAACGAAAAACGACACATCGCATTGTTCCACTCACGACTTATCCTCTTCGTGTAAAGGGGCAGGATAATTAACTCAACGAAGCAGCAGAGCAGGCCAAAATATAAACGAAATAATACTCAAAGCACTGAGTTCCCTGTATCATTCTAAATAAGACAGTGAGAAGACAGTATTGCGAGATGGAACCATTCCGTGTTTTCTGCTAACTCGCAAACTAACAACATAAATCTGAATCATGTGACAGAAGAATCGAGGGTGCCAGCATCATGTATCGACAGATATGTAATCGAAAAAGGCCATCAGATCGACCCTGGATCAACATTGACAGTTATGTATCGAAATGAAAACCCTAAAGTGCTGACGTTCGCCGAAGCTATGGCACTTAACCGGCATCGCCCTATCCTTTGCGTGCAGAAACAAGGCTCATGACCCTAAGGTCGAACTCGTCGATCTGTTATTCTTGCGTCTACGTAATTTCCCTTTGTGACCAGTTTCAAACCGTCGATGTTGCTGTCACGTGATTCATATTTATGTTGTAAGCTTGCGAGTAAGTACGAAATGGTTCCATCTCGCAATACCAGTCTTCTCACTGTCTTATTTAGAAATGGAACTCGTCGTCAACAGCAAGTACGTACCATCAAAGGACTGCTTCCGGAAGTCGAACTGAACAGCAACATAAAGGAGAGAACACTTAAATAGAATAGAAATCAAGGACAGTGTATGGTGGACAAGAGAATTGGAGGAAACATGTGTTCTGTTACACTCAACCGAAATCAGAACAACAGTATTGCAAATGGAAGTTTAGTAGAAGCAATGACAATAGTACATCGGCAGTCCACACTGGGTACAGATCAACTGTTTAGTTTTACGCAGTTCACATGTTTCAGCTTAGTACTCGCTTTTGAACCAATCAATAAGCATCGCTGGTCAGTCGGGAGACGGACACTCACGCACTAGCGCGCACAATGCAGCTCCACAGGCTAGGTAGTGTAGCATGACCTTGACGCGCTCAACGTCTGTACCATGTTCGAGTCGGAAACCATGGTTGAGAAGCCATGGATGGTTAATTGTATTCAGTCGTGCGGGAGCCCACTTATGTGGGACTGTAAAGTGGTAGAGAACATAACACATGCGAATGTTACTTTCTTCGTCCCATTGACCATAAACGATGGACGAAGTGAACGGACAACTGAGATTCCCGAGGTGACCCCAAGCAGATTCCATCGGAATTTTGCAGTCACGCTCCTGAGCTCCCCACTGATTCGCCGGCCAGACTGTTGGGTTACAGTCTCTGAATATCCTAACGGGTAGACGGAAGAATATTTTCATGAACCCGCGAAGTCCCATCACAAGCGCTTTTTCTGCCTGCTTTAATTTTTCCGCTACTTC